TTTTTTGTTTGCGGGGGCCCTTTTTTTTTTTTTTTTTAACGTTTTGCAGACGGTAATTTCAATAATTAACAGTTATCTGAACACAATTCTGAAAGTGTTTATTCTTTGGCATTTTTTCAGCACATCTCCTAATAGAGAGCGTAAGAGACCAAGGTGGGAAGATGAACTCAAGGAAAGCACTATTGAAAGCCCCTCCTCTGGGAAGGAAAAAGGTTACTTCTCTATAAAAGACAAAGATTTACTGGATGAAGGCATGATGGAAAGAGCTGAAGAGGAGGATGAAGATTTGTTAAAACCAGTGTGGGTTCGCTGTACTCATTCGGAAAGCTACTTTTCCAGTGACCCAATGGATCAAGTAGTGAGTATTGCAGTCTTGAGGGGTTTTTTTTTTTCCTTTTACCCTAAAGAGACATTAGGCTCAATTCGGAAAGCACTATGGCCAAAACCTTTTTTGGCCACAGTTCTCTTTAGGGTCACAGGAGGACATTTACTATGTCCTCCTGTGACCCAAAACTTAGCATATAGCGGACTATTACACTGCAGCCAGGAAAGATCCCAATAATATTGTTGGGGTCCACCCTACCATGCGATTGACAGTTGGCTCTGCCTCTCTAGAGGCCATCTATGCCTGCACTCTATCCCGTCTGTCCCACCAGTCAGCGCTGGAGGAACAGAGAGGGAAGGGGGGAATCCCTGTGGGGAGCAATGACTGACAGTCACCGCTCTCTGCAGGAAGAAGGTTGAGGAATAAGTGGTATGTGATCGTTCAGTTCTCGATCTATAGAGTCAAGGTGTGACAGCTTTGGTATCACACTTCAGCTCTAACTATGGGGATGAGTGCATTTTACTCTCCCCATAATTCTACTTTTAAAGCAGAATTAAAGGTAACATTTAAAAAGTTGCATACACAGTGCAGTTTACGCTTCTGGCATCTGTAAGATGCTGTAAGTAAGAGATGGTGTCGGAAAGATGTAACATCCGTGCACATGCCCAGGAGTTATGTCATCAGTGGCAGACCAATGGCTGAAGAAAGAAGACAGCAAGAGCAACAATGAAGAGGGGCAGGGCTCTCACGTCGATGGAGGAAAGCAGACTTCAGAAGTAAGTTTGCCATAAAGTACTGGTCTGCTATACATTGTGCACAATACAATAGCTACACTGAGTATTCAGTTCCCCTTTAACACTGCTACTTTGAGTTGGATCTCCTGACACTGCTCTTTGGCTTAATGCTGTAGAGATTGCAGAGATTTTTCATAATGTCTGCTTTGTGTATACAGACACTCCCCGGGTTATGAACAAGATAGGGACTGTAGGTTTGTTCTTAAGTTGAATTTGTAGGTAAGTTGGAACAGGTACAATTTTTTTTTGTTGTTGAGGTTTTGGATAGCATAGGGAAGGGTTAACCCCCTGTAAAGTTTGTTTTGCTGTGTGTGCCCCTGTTCAGAAGATTTCAACTCACTTTCTGTACCTGTGACAATTAGATTTTGAAAATTTTGGATTGTCGTGGAAACAAGGATTGATGATAAAGCTTCAGTGGAGACACCTTTTTCACATGATAACTCTTACAGGAGTGAATTTCCCATCCTAGGGTAGATTTCCTCTCACTTCCTGTTGTCTCAAGGACAGGACGTGAGATTAAATCTTTCTAATGAGGATACAGACAGCAGTAAAAACCTCAGTGTGACCTGGAAGAAGAGGTGGGCAGCCCTCGTCTGCACGTCTAACAAGAGCCAACTTCCTGTAATGTATGTACAGTACTACGAACCAGACCCAAAAAGTCAGGCACTCCTCATCGGCATGACCACGGTAGCATTACAACTACCCCTGCTGTACAGTAATAGCCTCCGTTTGTAAGTAGGAGTCATATGTAAGTCAGATGTATGTAACTCGGGGAGTGTCTGTAATTTGTATGGCATTAGGGCTAATTCACAAAGCTTTTTTTTTCCTGATATCCTACGTTATGTAGTTGCTGTGTAAAGACAGTCAATTCACAAAACTCCTTAACTCTTCTTGCCTTTCAAAATTAGACCTGTTTTAAAGTGGATCTTTAATAGCATGTTAGGTGTTATTTTACCTAATCACTTGCTATTTTAATAACCGGAATGATAAAATATGCTTGAAATACAATTCACAAAGGGAAGAAGACCTTGTATCACTTGTTATCAAGGTGTAGAATTATCACCCTCTTCAGGGTGGTGTTATGACATATTGAAGACTGTATCTGATGCATGATGCACTGTGATAAAGTGAGATGAATAGAAATGGAGCTTTTTTTCCACATGATTACAATATTCTAATGCTATTGCATTCCCCTGAAGAAGAAGGCTACTTGTGGTTATAATCTTTACACAAGTTTTTGCCCTTGTTCCATTTGGGATGATTTGGACAATTTTCACCTGACGCATCAAATTAATGTGGTTGATTTACTAAAGGCAAATAAGCTGTTCACTTTTGCAAGGGAATTTTCCTTTAGCTTAGTTGATGAGGTGAAACTCTGCTGACTTCCATCATCCGATCATTTGTAGGCACAAATAAAGGGGAGTTGTTGTTTTTTTCCCCTTGCATGTGATTGGGTATTTTTTGCAAATTGAATATTTGCAGCATTCACTAAGCTAAGGGAAACTTCCCTTGCAAAGTGAACAGCCAATTTGCCTTCAGTAAAGCAACCCCAGTGTCTCCCATCACCCACCAATGGGGTTATAGTGCAAGTGGATTACTCCATGCCACTAATTTAATAACAGGCTTTGAGTAGTCAGGAGAATTGTTTTCACTTCCTATACTGTCTGATTATTGGCAGATACAGATCTAAATCAACCTAATATTTCAGTTACTCCTTTGGCTCATAAACATTTTATTTACTATTTCATCAATTCATCCCTTCTCTCTTAAATTGAAAGTACAACTAAAGGCTCTATGCCCCAATTTTAACTAGTGTGTAACCTCCTATCATTGGTTCTTTATAGTCAAGATTATACTCAAAATCTTACTTACCTCTGTATTGCATATTTTAATCTTAAGCTTCTGATTTACTGCTACTCATGGCCTGAGTCCATATGGTGGTGGAGGGGGGATACCCACCCTTCCCATATTGTCCGAAAGAAGTCCATCAGATTACTTAGTGGTCAGTCTATGATGGCTAGAATTGGTCAGGAGAAGAATTGCTTGGGGCTCTGCTTTACTGTAAAGCCTGAGACTTTGTGACGTCATTGTGTCCCAGCAAGCCCAGCTAAAGCAAAGGATGACAAGGGGCTATTGTGGCAGGGGGCCTAAGCAGTGTCCTCTGATGAAACAGGCTTCAGATGCTGGGATTAAAATTTGATTATTCAGTTCAGCAGGGCTTTGAAGGTAAATGACGGCTATGTATGTTTACTATTGCTATTAGATTACATGTTTATCCCATAGTTGTCCGTATGGCATACTGACCTGGCCAGCTGGAAGCACTTTTGTAGGTCCGTATGCCATACGTCCTTGGCAGCGAAAGGGTTAAAGTGGCATGCAGGTGGCAGAGATAGTCCTTGTACAGTATGCATATACTTTTATGCATAAAACTGGGGAAAGTGGAAGTAAACTGAAAAAAAAAAGTAATCTACAGGTCATCAGCTCCACCCCTTCTGCTACCAAAACATACTTCAAAAGTGCTAAAATAGCCTTATTTTATTACAGTAATCAGTAAAATAAAGTCAAGGAATTTAAATCACCACTGGTTGAGGGCACACGTAGCACACAGTAAAATTAGTAGTTTACAATAACAATTCCGGCTTTTGGAAATTGCATGTCTTTCGCCTGCCACCGTCAGAATACATGACCAAAGATTGCAGCTGATTGACTGCAGCCACTGTTGGGCTGAAAATGTTTGGGCCGGCTCCATTGACAAAAGTCAGATCCATAATGGACTTTTGTCGAGCCAGCAGGGTGACACACAGTAAAAACTTTAGACTATTCCTGTAAATTGTCAAGAATTCTAACAGTGTATGGCCAGCCCTAACTTCTATTCTCATAACGTTGAGCTTTGTGAAATGGCTATTAGTCACATAAATTGATCTGTAAATTTACATACAGTGATACCTTGGTTTACGAGCATAATTCGTTCCGGAAGCATGCTTGTAATCCAAAGCGCTTGTATATCAAAGTGAATTTCCCCATAGGAAATAATGGAAATTCAGATGATTCGTTCCACAACCCAAAAATATTCATATAAAAATGATTACAATACTGTACTGTAATATAATACTGTACAAAATATAAAGAAAATAAACCAATTACCGGTACCTTCGTGGATGGGGTGAGGGGGACGAGAGAGAGGAGGATTATTGTGTAGGACGACTTTCACTATCGCTAACGGAATCACTGCTATCTCTTGACTCAATGGAATCTTTTTCATTTCGTGAAACCTTAACAAGGAATATATTCAATGTGACATTGCATTGTCGTTAAAAAGACTCATCGCTCGCACTGCTACAGCCTTATTCGGGTGGTGCTTTTCTACAAAATGTTGCTCTTCTTGCAAGACATTGCTTGTATATCAAGGCAAAAATTTTCAGAAATGTTTGCTTGTCTTGCAAAACACTCTCAAACCAAGTTACTTGTAAACCAAGGTATTACTGTATAAACATTCTGTTGCTTCCTGTTGAAGTTTTTCCTAGGTGATGCTTTAACTGGTTAAATGAGTGTTGTCCGCCTAGACATTGAAAGGGTCAAAACAAGATCTCTTTGAGCTTTTTTTTACCTTTTGTAGCAGGGGATTTGGGCAGTTGTAAGTGCGGTACCCCAGATCGCTTTTAGAAAAACAAAAATTTCCCAGCACCCCCACCATCCAGCCTCCAAAAATACACTATCTGTTTCGTCAAGGCCCCTCTGTGTAGTGTGGTCCCAACTCTAATCTATGAGAGCCTCCAATCGCTTTTACCAGACAGAGAGTACGCGGCATATTAGCACATTATGGCAGACTAACCTGGCAAAGCGATCCCATCCAACGCTGACACATATCTTTGTCCCTGTCTTCTTCTTCTGGTTTTTCACTGCTTGATTGGCTGGTCCCCGATGATGTAACTTCCACGCATCTATACGTGAGTTACTTCATCTTGGCATACCAAACCTGTGCTTTGAGCTGCACTTGCTTCGCTTAGTAAAAATATTTTTCTGAGATAGAAAGCTTGCCAGTCGTCAATTTTTTTTTATTTTTCCCTTTACTTACACTTTTAAAAAGGTTTAAAGGAGAACTATGAGGTGAGTGCTTTTCACTCACCTCATAGTTCTAGCCGACCTGTGACAATGAGACTGTCACAGGTCGGCTCAGTAGATCGGGAGGGGAGCGAACATATACCGGCATTCGCTCCCCTCTCCATCCTGTCACGGCTCTCTGCCGTGACAGGGGAGGGGCTGGATTCCCCCCTCCCCGCTCGGATCCGCCAGCGCTGACTGGCTGAACGGACGGGGGAGGGGGCGGGTACAGCTGGCTCTGCCTCTAGATAGGCAGAGCCAGCTGTCAGTCACGCAGCTGGGTGGATCCCGACACAATTGTCGGGATCCGCTTCAGCTGCAGCGTCTCGGTATACTGCAGCGTCTCAGTATAACGCGAGCTACAGCTCGCTGTATACTGAGCCTAGGGTGACGGGAGGACGCTAGTTTGTGTCCTCCCGTTACCCTAAGGAGAACTATGGGGAAAAGACTTAACCCCATAGTTCTCCTTTAATGGTATGGCGCCTTTAACCGTTTGGTCGTTTTCTAGACGGCATTGCCTAAAAATTTTTATTTTTTTTTAAATTTATGGCCAGGATAAGAGCTGATTTATAAACAAACTGGAGAAATGCAGAATGGAACAAAATTTGGAAAGGTGCCTGTTGCAACCAATCAAAGGTCTTTTTGAAAGCAAAACCCTTGTTTTTGTGTTCGCAGTGTGCAGCTTCTGAGAAGATACGCTATTAGCATAGCGGTAGCGATGCAAAATGCGCAGCCGGCTTCCTCGCTATGCTAATAGCGTATCTTCTCAGAAGCTGCACACAGCGTGCCGGTTTCAGTAGTAACCAGCACACGCTGTATGCAGCTTCTGACGTGGGAGACTGGAGGCTGGGCTTGTCTGGATCCAGGGATCAGGTAGTATTAAAAATCAAAAATGTTTTATTTTATATTTCCGGGGACATCATTTGTTAGGGGATGGTCTCCTCAATCAGCGGACTGTCCCCAGAAATCAGGGATGAATGGTCAGCCTACACTAGCCACCAGGGAGCCTCCACTGGCCACCACAGAGCCCCCACTAATCACCAGGGAGCTCCCACTGGCCACAGTGGAGCCCCCACTACCCACCTGGGAGCTACCACAGAGCCACCACTAATTATTATGGATCCCGCACTGATCACCTGACAGTCTGCCATAGGCTCCTTCTGCCGTCAATCAACTTGTTGGGCAAAAAGGAGGGGAATGGCCTGTTGCAGGGCTGTGTGTGTCTATGGACACACACAGCTACTGTAGGCACGGTCGTGAACGAGCACACACAGGTACCTCCCTCCACAGCAGCCACTTAGCTGCTGACGGCACCTGTGCAGGGAACAGGGGGAAAGCGGATGCGGGAACCCACTAGAGGATGAGGAATTGAGAAATTAAAAAAAAAAAAAAAGAAAGATCTGCAATACAGAAAACCTCCCACTGATAAAAAAACCCCCAAAACTAAAGCTTTTAATATCACTTTAAAGATTCGGACTGTCAAGAACTTGAGGTTTAGTAGCTCTGCAACACAATTCTTTTTTATGGGGTGTTGAAATAAAATTACTCCCAAGCATGCACTCACCTGTCTAATCCCAAATCTTTTGTGTTTGGGCCATAGCTGTTTAATGAGCAACTGTAACAGAATATCAACACATTACAGTTCCCATATACGCAGCGGGACAGAACTGCTCAGTGGACCGAGGTACAACATCCCAGCAGGAGCAGTAGGAGACTAATCCAAGATCTCATTATGCTGGGAGTGTACAGATAAATTGCTTGATGATGGAAAAACACACTTTGTAGAACTTGTAAGTAGATGAGAAATAAAAGATTCAACAAGTACTTGTGCCTTTAAACCAAGTTCATTTGTAAAAAGTCTGGTTGTGTACATAATTACATTTTAGATTGTTACATTATGTTTTATAAGAGTGTTAAGTGCCACATGTAGTTATAGCACACAACTTAAAGATCTAGTCCATTCAACATATGATAGTCTTATTCTAGGGATGCTTTAGTCAACCACCAGCTTCTTGGGCATATATGTTATATGTGTGTGTATATATGTATATATACATTATAGAGAGAAAACTAGTTGCAGTGCATTGCAATTTCTTTTTCATACATCTTTATACTTAAAGGAGAACTATGAGGTGAGTGCTTTTCACTCACCTCATAGTTCTAGCCAACCTGTGACAATGAGACTGTCACAGGTCGGCTCAGTAGATCGGGAGGTGAGCGAACACATACCGGGTTCGCTCGCCTCTCGATCCTGTCACTGCTCTCTGCCGTGACAGGGGGAGGGGCTGGATTCCCCTCTCCCCGCTCCGATCTGCCAGCGCTGACTGGCGGAACGGACGGGGGAGGGGGCGGGTACAGCTGGCTCTGCCTCTAGATAGTATGCTGAGCTGAGAGTAACGGGAGGGCGCTATTTTGTGTCCTCCCGTTACCCTAAGGAGAACTATGGGGAAAAACACTGAGCCCATAGTTCTCCTTTTTAATATGTACATTTAGACAAAAGGGCAGACAAAAGTATACAGATGAAATACATATAAGACAGGGCTTGATAATTTGCTTTGACTCTAGGATCCAGCTAAAAAAAGTTAGGAACCAGTTTTTCTTTTAAACGGACAGCTTTATTTTCCATGACAGTTGTAATTTTCCATTGCAGTTTTAATTGGCTGACATGGCGACACCTGTCATGTGTAGCGCAATCGTCGTTTTCGTGCATAGGTGCACCTGACTTGTGTTTCCCTTAGTATGTTTGTGGGGGCAGGGACTTTACATTTTTCTTTGGTATTTTTAATTTTATTTATCTTTTTATTTTTGAAACGTTTCTTTTTTTAACTTCATTACTATAACATAGAAGGGGTGATGTGGGCTCAAAAGCCCCCTATGTGATAGCACATTGAAATGACAGGTTTTCTTTAAGGTGACATTAGGTGTCACCTTTACACTTCAATAGCTTTTGATGGGGAATGTAAACAAAGCAAGCAGTGGCTGGGAGCAATAGCCAGTCTGCTATTGCCTATTTCAAATTGCAATAGCCAATAGCAGGCTAGCTGTTGCACCTGACCACTGCCTGCTGTCAATCGGCAGAGGAGGGGAACTGAAGGAGAACGTTTTTGCAATTTAAAATAGCCAATAACAGGCTGGCTATTGCTCCCGGCCGCTGGATGGGAGACTTGTCGCCAGCTTTCTACCGGTTGATCTGAAGAGGGGGCGCAGTGGGAATGCAGAGTCACAATGGCTGACAGCGATCTCTCTTTCCTTTCTCTTTCTCCTGGGCACCGCCTGCAGCGGTCTGTGTCCCCTCCGATCCCCTCTGCTGATACAGGCGGGGATTGAATGGGACACCGACCGCAGCATGGAGCCGCTGCACCCAGAAGTCACAGGTGTTTGCGTGCAGCTGACAGACATCGTGGCTGTATTCATCTAAGTGGTTACATGCCTAGAGAGATAGCTGAGTGGCCCTGAATGCAGAAATACACTCCTTCTTCATGGTGTATGGCCCCCTGCAGCCATATGAATGAGGACTGAGTCTTATGTGTGAAACTTTTTCTTGCTTTTAACTATGACAATAGCTGAAAACTGCAGGTCCTTTCATAGACATAATATGACACTCCGTAAGTAGTTTACACATCCATAGCCTACCATACAATCACAACACTCTGATATCTCTTCAAAGGGTGACTCCACTGTGGTCGGAACAAGCAGGTTACGCGATTTGTATGACAAGTTTGAAGAGGAACTTGGCAAGCGTCAGACAAAAGCCAGAGCGGCCAGGCCAGCGTGGGAGCCACCGAAGACCAAATTAGATGAAGATTTTGGTGAGATTATCTTCTTGTTCGTTATATCTGCTGCTAACTATTTTCGTGTAAATAATGTTGCTGCTGTCTGCAAAATTGTTTTGATGTATGTCTGAGATGTGTTTGCTAAACCCAGCTGTGTGTAGTGTTTTTAGGAAATATAAGTATTCTTGGCAGGAAATGTCATGTACAGCATGGTGTATATACTTGGAAAGCTCTCTGTATGGGAAATTGTATATTTATGCAGCATTTAGAAGAAAAGCTACAATTTTATGTTGTCGTGTTGTCATTTCCAACTGCTGCCATGTGTGAAGCTGTGCAGTACGTTTTAGGTTATTTCTGTCAGTTGTTATAAACCTATTAATGATTTGTTATGAAACCTATGTAATGATTTAAAGTACTATGGCATTCCTCTTGCAATCCCATCTAATGGTACCTGTGCATAGAGATTGTAACAAGCTCTTTAATTCTACCTATGCCATGTCACTTTCATGGCCCTACAGCAGTCCCAAGATAGCAGCTGTAAAAACTCTGGAAACAAATTTTCAGAATTTACAGATATGACATCCCTCCTTTCTCCTTATTTATTTTGAGGTTTTTTTCTATTGCTTTTTTTTTTGTAACGGAAGTAAGCTCTGTCAGTTATTTATTGCTATTCCCCAACAAGTACATTTCTATGACAGAAAGGGAGTAGAAATGACGGGGCAGAGATCCGCATAAGGTGCTTCCCTGAGCATGTTATGGTAAAAAGCTAGCAACAGAGCAATTGTCATTTCCTGAGCTATTGCCATTGCTTCAACATTTGCTGATGACTCTGCGAGTCGGCTAATCTGGCTGAAAGCTGGGAACTACCTCATTTTTTCGGCTTACTGAGTGCCTCAAAATCCCTGCTTTCTGGCAGTTCCTACTGCAGAGGGTTAGAGGGACTGACGTCATCTGCTAGGTGAAATAACGCATGTGGACTCTCTATGCTATCTTTCCTGCCCCTCAGTGTAGAGAAAGCATCTCCCTTTGCACTGCAAAAACCATGTAGAGCTCTGATCATTAGTTCCCTCCTACTGTCCGCATGATTTGATCACCCCTGCCCCTCAACCCTCAGCTGCTACCAGTGGTCGAATTTTTACCAAGACTTGACCTTGTACTCTGATCTGCTTTGTCTTACCAACATGAAACGTGTCCGAGTCTAGATACAGGAGGGACAATCCCGCAATCCCAGGTGCCACCAGCTTGCACTCTACTAACTGGTACAGTGCTGCTTGCAGCATGTCAACTGATGCAGCTAATGTCTGCAGCTTGGAATAAAGCGCTCTGCTTAATGCGTCTATCTCTTCTTCAGAGTCTTCTCTAGCTCCATAGGGTATAGCCGCTGTTCCAGTGCCACAATGGTTTTAGGGGTTTTATGTCAACCTGTCCACACTTCCCAAGCCAAGAGTGGATTGAATCTTGGATCTTAATATGCTGAATGTCATTTGAGCCCCCAAAAAAATCTGTTTTAAAACCACCAGGTCTGTGTAGACTTCCCTCACCAGGGAGACTTAATGGTTACTGTGGACATCGTTGATACGAACCTACATGTTTTTCAATATTCACTACGATTTGCTGTGTGCACTACACTTTCAGTTTGTGGCCCTGCCATTCAGCCTCTTGTCTGCACCTTGGGTGTTCACCAAGATGCTGGCCCCGGCACTACCCTGCTGCATTCTTGGGACATGCCCATTGTGGGATACTTGGATGACCTCCTGCTGAGGTAACAGTTGGTACAAGCTCTGTAGAACAACGCAGCTTTGACTGTCCAGCTATTGCAGACATTCTGATTTGACCCTGAAACTGATTATCTTGGTCCAGTCCTAGACACATCTCTGGCCATAGTATTCCTTCCCCAGGAAAAGCTTTGATCCCTTCACTCCCAAACTGGGACTCTACAGTCCAGGGGTTTTCTGACTTTCTGTCTCTTCCTGCGTATGATTGCAGCCTTTTTCGAGGCAGCCCAATTTGCCCAGTTTTATTTCAGACCCTTACAATGCAACATTATGTCATAATTGAAAAAAGTTAGTCCAGTATCTAGACATGTCAATTCCTCTGGCACAGAGCACTAGGTTGTCCCTGTTTTGGTTGCTCAGAAGTCCATCCTTCCTGTCTCAACCTATTGGACTGGGGTGGAGTCATGGGCAGCACAGAGGACTTGACTTGATGTTGGCAAAATCTCTCTCTTGATCAACAGTTTCAAACTTCGGGTGGTCTGACTGGCCCTATAGCACTAGACACCACAATACATTCTCATAAGGTCCGAGCTATAAAGCATATATCAAAGTGTATCTGTAGCCAAAACATATACTGTATGACTTTATTCCCTTTTTTATGTAAGGGGGAAACCCATTTTAGACAGGTGTAAGTGGAACTGGTGTCCCTATTGGAAGATTTTTCAAACTTTGCCTTTCCAATCACTTTCTGTCCTGATGACAATGGCCACCAGGACAAGCGGAGAAGGGGAATCTACCCAGCAGGAAAAACAGACATCCATTGAACCCTGACGGTTCCGAATCTGCCTAATTCTATACAATAGTAGAAAAAAAAAACTTTGACTAGAAATAAGCTTACCATTATTGTGCTTAGACTGCCATACAAGAGAGTTGCGATGTAATTTAATAAACCGAAAATCTGATCTAAAGAAGTGCCTTCTCCTTATTTGGTGATGCAACATTGGCAACCATGAAAGTGATGCACAACTGCTGCTGCAAAAACAAATGGTGCAAAAGTGCTCCAAGCGCTTTTACAAATATGCCACACAATATTTTTGTAGACTTTAGTCACGTCATGCTCTCACAGATATATCTCTGAGAAGGGCAGATAGGGAAATGTGTTAGAAGTATGTGTAGCTGTGTTTTGTTAATGACAATATTACATAGTTACAAAGTATTTGAGGTTGAATAAAGACACAGGTCCATCGAGTTCAACCTATTGTGTGTATGTTTATGATTCTGCATGTGTATACGTGTCCCTGTGTGATCTTATTTTTTAAGGGTACCTGTACCCCTGTATGTTACGGTCTCTGAGTAAAATTGTTTAAATGAATTTTGAATGATTCAACACTCTCAGCTGATACAACTGCTTGTGGCAGAGAGTTCCAGACCCTAACCACTCTAACTGAAAAGAAGCCCCTACGCCCATTGTGGTTAAATCTTTTCTCCACCAATTTTATGTGGTGGCCCCTCGTCCTTGTTAGGGAGTTTCCCGTAAAGTTTATTGCTGATGTTGCTATCACCATTGAACATCGTGTACATTAACATAATGTCCCCCCTTAATCTCCGCACCTCCAGCGTAAACATATTTAAATTTAGTAACCTTGTCTCATAGCTTTGGTCCTCCTTCCCCCTTAATTAGTTGCCCTTCTCTGGACTCTTTCCAGCTCCAGTACATCCTTTCTGTGTATTGGTGACCAAAACTGAACCGCATACACCAGATGAGGTCGAACCAGGGGTCTATAAAGTGGCAAAATTATTGCTTTGTCTCTACAGTACATTCTCTTTTTAATACAAGACAGTACTCTGCTCGCTTTGTTTATTAGACTCTGTGTAATACTCTACATAAATGGTAGATGTTAGTATAGCCTGTTTTTATTTAGCCATCTCTTTAGCAGACTTGGCTACATTAGGCTTATATCCTATCTCACGTTTCATTGACAGGTGTAACTGAACATTTTTAGAAAGACTAAGCTACAAAAAAGCTTATTAGGCAGGTAAATTCAGTGAAACAAATTCAATGACCGAAAATGCCCTTTTGCATTTTTGTAACCAGTACCTAAATAGTTACATATTACAGGCCTTAACATTTTATTAGCCTACATAAATGATTGCAGTTTTTATGTGTTCCAGATAAGACCCTTTTACCTCATTAAAGGGAAGTGGGAAATGTATAATACCTGGAAACGTCCATGAAGAATAACACACCTTGAGATATCTTAACCTCAAGGTCCAGCAAATTATTCTTAAGTTAAATTAATGAATCGTCAAGGGCAGCAGTTTCCTTAAGCTTTCTGAACTTCTACTGGTTTTGCTTCCATTGAAATTGTTTAATTAAACTACCTACCACATGAAACACTTTTTTTTCACACGGTGCCTGCCAATGTTATAACATAATATATCATTAACCTTGCTGGAAAGACAATTTCAGTGATTTAGATCTCCATTGAGAAGTGTTAGAAGTTTTTTCAATGTCAGCTATTTATAATAAAAAACGAAACTTGAGGAGAATTTATAGATAAAAATAAACATATCTAAAAGTTGATATCACAGGTGAAATATACAGTACACTTGACCTTTCTTTGAATTTAGGCTATTCTATATTAGTTTATTAAGGGGGTGTGCAGACTCAGTTTGAATGCCCCACATTTGCATTGCCTTTGTTATTTGAGTGCATTTGCCACAAACCACTTTCTAATGACAGTAGCTAGGTAACAATAGTAGTAATTACCTTTTACACTGGCAATTAAAAGTACTTCTGTATATCCTTTATATCGGTGTGTAATTCCCTGTGTAGCAGAACTTAAGCTAGGTATACATTGTATAGATTTTTTTTTTTTTCTGAAGAAAAAAACAGATTCCTCCATCCATGCTAAACAACGGAAAAAGAGTCTGAATCTCAGCGCTCAGCAGACTTAGGCATCAGTCATAATCTAAACCGGACACTTCAGGAGAGGCTGAATTGCCAGAGTATATTGAACTACTCGCATTAGGAGGTAGAAAACAAGTGGTGTATGTACACAACAACCAGGAACAGGGCTGCATAGTTGATGCGTTTCAGGGAAATCACCCCTTCCCTTATGCTCTGAGGAACAGGTGTTTTCCCCTGAAACGTGTCGGTTCTGCAGCCCTGTTCCTGGTTGTTATGTACCTCTTACATGTGAGTAGTTCAATGTACTCTGTGTATTAACATTTATTAATATTCAGTTACCAAAGAGAAGGTGCTGTCTTCTGTTTTTGTTTTGCATGCTAAACAACATGGATGGAGGAATTTCCTGCTGCAGCTATTGTATTTTGACAGGGGACCTTCCCAGCTGTCAAAATATCTAAACAGTGTCAGCATCTGATTGGATGCAGGCCATGTTCGGCTTACATTTTTTTGCCTGGTTCCTTCGATTTTTCAATTGAATGGTTTCAGGCAAGAGCTGGCAGACAGGGCCACCTACAGAGCAAATTTCATCAGGTTCATTAAGGATCTGTTCACACTAGAAGTGTTGGGGCTGCACTGGCCACTTTTTCTCAGCATCCCCAATGCACAGACAAGGCAATTTGCCATGTTTTAAATTGGCACAGTTCACACCACTGTGCAGTGTGGTGTGACGCGGTGCAACCACTGATTGAATTTTATAAAATGTCACTTGTTACATTTTAATAAAGTTCTTAAAAATCAAACAGTGCAATGCGCTGGGATCGACGCATCTGCACTGCTCCAGTCATCACACACTAGCAGCTGCACGTTCAGTACAGCTTGCTGGTGTGAACAGTCTGATCAAATTTGCTCTGTGTATTCCCAGCTTTAGATTGAAAGAGAAGGGAGCAGCAATATCAGTCATGCTCTTCTGATTTGCAAAGTTCCATAATCCTATGTCACAAATTACTGTTAGAAGAAATCGGCCCCAGAATGATCCCATCACCATGCCATCCAATCACAGGCTAGGGCTGGTCCTTGACCAGGCGGTATTACATTAACGGCAATGGTAAAAAGCCAGGTCAAGGACTGTAGTGAATCTCATCAGTGGCTGATCAAAATTGCAAATCCTTTGCCCTCCAAACAGTTTTCAAGTTTGTTTACTTGTAGTATTTAGTGTACTTGGGTGTTTGCAGTACATGCAATTTCCACAGTATTGGAGAAGGTGAGTTATCTCAAGGTAAAGGTCCATTGGCCAAGTCTATATATTTTATTTATATATATATATATATTTATTTGGTTTGTAACCCTTTTCTCAGAGGTAGGCGGATGTCTTTCACATAAATATACTTACTGGAGAGTTTTTGACCTTTTTATTTTGCTAATAATATCACATGTTTCAAAGTAGCCCCTGATGCTTACAAGTTTAAATAAATAAGTATGTCTTTACATTTATAGCCATAGCCGATACCTTAATAATTGAAGTCATCTTTCACATGTAAGAGGCATTATTCATAGAGTAACAGATTTATTTAAATACCTTGAATGGATAGTACTGGTTTTCCTAATTTGCTTCCTTTTCTGTTCTGCGGGGATTAATAAAAAAGAAAATGTTCATTGTAGGGCCAGCTATAGTAAGACACTTAAAGTGACATTAAACCCTCAGATTTTTTAACATAAAACAATACTGTAATGTGTGCCTTACTGTAATCCATGGTTGTTTTCCTTCTCTTTGCTGCTCTTCCTTTTAAATCTGTATCTGTTCTTATGCTAGGGGAGAACTTCTGTTTTGCAGCAGAATGCCTTGTCTCTAAAAGGGATGCATGGTGTTTGTGTATAGGCTTGCAACCTGAGCCAGCACTACAGGAAGAGGCACTCAGCTGCAAAGGGAAGCTCTCCCCAAGCATGAGAAGACATGAGGATTTAAAAGGAAGAGCAGCAAAGAGAAGGGAAACAACCATGGGTTACAGTAAGGCACACATTACAGTATTGGTTTATGTTAAAAAAATCTGAGGGTTTAATGTCACTTTAATTCATGAAGGGGTGGTTAGGTGTTCAGGCTATTCTTGGTCATCCTGATCAAGCACAGGCTTCTGGCAGACCACATTGGTCATGTAGCCCACTGCTGCAAATAGATAAGATCAATGGTTTTTCAAAAAAATTTTTTTTTTTTGCTAAATAGAGAGTGAGACCAGCAGGCTAGGAAAAGTTATTTGGACATTAAGTCCACATAAATATAGAGCCTAACAAATATAGGAGCCAGGAGCTTACCGTCTCCTGGTTGCTAGGGACGCCTTTCCAAACAGGTTGTCAGATTGAGGAAGAGGTACAGCGCCACAATGTGTCCCTAGCAGCCAGGATATGGCATGCTTTTGACTGTAGGAGTGGGCGGCAAAACCAACAGCATCGGAAGGAGTGCACAAGTCTTGATGTATCACCATAAGTCGCTGTGAGCCATGTCTCTGCTTCTGATCTAGTCTAAGGCTCCATTCATATAAAGCGTTTGCGTTTTCCCCACGTACCACGTGGACATCGTGCAGGTATGAACCCATACGCGCAGAAAACTGGGAATGTGTGAACGGAGCCTAAGATCTTAATGCTCTAAACGGGTCACACTGGGCTACAATACCTGGGCTCCCACATTGAGATAAACTGTTTTAAATGTTTCTAAATGTGAGGTCATCATCACTTTTGATTTTTCTTATTAAACTAGAATGCTATACTTTGCTGCTGTATGGTGGTGTGTTTTTGTAGTGTCTTAGTGCTTCTCCAGACCATTTGCTGAAAGACCTAGTTGGAGAACAAGTTTTGTAACACGGGGCTTATTTTGCTTTAATCTGTATATATATATATAATGTGTATGTGTATGTGTATGTGTGTGTGTGTGTGTGTGTGTGTGTGTATATATATATATATACTGAGGGGAATTTAATAAAACTGGAGCAGACAAAGTCTGGAGCAGTTTCCCATGGCAACCAATCAGCTTCTCTCTTCTGTTTGTTCAATTAAGATTTGAAAATGAAAGAAAGAAGCTGACTGGTTGCTGTGCACATCTGCTCCAGACTTTGTGTGCTCCAGTTTTGATAAATTCCCCTCACTGTATATTGCCAGTTTATTTCTAAAGCCTTTTTAACATCTCAATTGTTTGTAACATTTATTATACCTGGATTTCCAAATAATTCCATTCTTTTAACCCCTTAGTGACACCGCTTTAGAAAATGTTTTCGTTCCTGGGACCCGGAGCAATTTTGCAATTTTTGCTATGCGTTTGTTTAATCATAATCTCCCTATTCCGTTCATTGCACCTACGCATACAGTACACTATATTGCCAAAAGTTTTGGGATGCCTGCCTTTACATGCACATGAACAGGGTTAATTTTTTTTGGATAAGTATTCGGAGGAGATACTGTACTCTCCTCAGAGATTCTTAGTATAACTTTTATAAAACAATGAACCATCTTGCAGCTCCACAACACCGTAACCGACAAGCCGGCTCAGTGGCTATCACAGTGATCACCTTTCTGTGACCTCCTAAATTTCGGTTAAGGGTCTGCCTCGGACACCGAAGGACCCATCAACAGCATTAACTCAATGAGCGCTGGTCCCTGCACAGACCAGCGCTCATTGTACCGGATGAAGGGATTATTCCGCCACCAGTCATTAAGGAACTGAAAGACTGCAATGGAATAATCCCGTCATCAGTCGGGAAGGGGTTATAGCCCTAAGGCTATGCTAACACAATGTCCGGACCAGATCTGGAGCAGATCTGCAAATGCAGTGAAGTACATTTTGCCTCCATTTTTTTTCCAAGCCTAAAATGGGCTTTTTGGTGCAGTCCTGTGCATTCCGTGTGTTTTTGATGCGTTTTTTGCATATTTTGTTGCGTTCCAGACCAGAACAAAATATGACATGCAGTATTTTTTGGGTGTGGAACGGAAAGCACTGCAAAGGTGTAAACTGTAGTCCAGAAATCACATAGGGATACATTAGGATGCATTTTTGGTCCAAGAGCTAAATGTTCTGACCTGGACAGAATCTGGGACGTCGCAGTATACCGCGAGCTGCTGCTCGGGGTACACTGAGACGCTGCAGCTGAAGCAGATCCCGACAATTGTGCCGGAATCCGCCCAGCTGCGTGACTGACAGCTGGCTCTGCCTATCTAGAGGCAGAGCCAGCTGTACCCGCCCCCTCCCCCGTCCATTCCGCCAGTCAGCGCTGGCGGAGCGGGGAGGGGGGAATCCAGCCCCTCCCCTGTCACGGCAGAGAGCCGTGACAGGATTGAGAGGTGAGCGAACGCCGGTATGTGTTCGCTCACCTTCCGATCTACTGAACCAACCTGTGACAGTCTCATTGCCACAGGTCGGCTAGAACTATGAGGTGAGTGAAAAGCACTCCCCTCATAGTTCTCCTTTAAATTCAGCAAAACAGAGTTGTTGATTATAACTCAAGTAATGTGCAGCCTTCTCTTCCTCTGTGTACTTTTAATTAAATAAAGTCTTCATATGATGCTGACAAGATGTCTTATATTTCTGAGTTTGGCCATGCTGCATGGTTCATGTCAGAGTTGAAGAGGCTAATGAAAGGACATCAATACTCATATGTGCCAAGACAGCATGGTTTATCAAGGCAGTGGTAATTATATTGTGGTTCACAGTGCATTCACTGTGGTTGCTTTGGTACCAAACTGACACATCTTTGCAACCCTGACAAACTTGCCTGTATGCTATATACAGTAATGACAATCTGTATGATTTGTGAGCACATGTCATGGCTAAACCACAGAATTATGTTTGGGTCCTTGGTCCTGTAAGGATGGAGAAGATATTATATTAGAGATGTGACTCGCTTGTTCCTTATATTTACAGATAGCTCCAGTGATTCTGACTGTGATACGGATGATGATAGCTGCTCCAGCAGCTCAGACTCTGAGGTGTTTGACGTGATTGCTGAAATAAAAAGGAAGAAAGCTCATCCCGACCGTCTTCATGAAGAGCTATGGTATAATGACCCTGGTCAGGTTTGTATCCTCTCTAGTTACCATTTGCTAAGAATGATGCGGAATGCAGTGTTTCTTGTGAAAGAGTATCAGCACGGTTATTGATGAGCATCTTTAAGGAAAGTCTCCAGCTCATTTCGGAAACAGGATCCCGTTTTAAAAATGTTGAGTTCCGGAAATCACTTAATACATCTGATTAATCCTATTGCTTACATTTATGTGCAATGGAAGAGTGGTTAATATGCACTCCAGTACCTTTTTATTCTTGAACATTATTTCTATGTGCCCATCGCCTTCTCTTTATAATGGGGCAGAAGCTCTTTTTGCATTGTGGTAGATAATAATTTTTTTCTTAAATGCAACTCCAGGTAATTTTATTTCAGTGATACTCCTATCGAACCTTGCCCATAAAAAGTGCCTTACATTTTACATTATTGCATTGCAGACAGCATTCTTGATAAAGCATTAAATCTCTATCTCAGTGTGTGTAAAATGTCCTGTTGACTATAGGGATAGCAACATAATTAAAAGTTAGCGATTCTTCCTTTTCCTTTACCACCAGAGCTCATAATGAGTGCTGGAGGCAGAAGCCTTCAGTAACATCAGTGCCTCTCGGCCTTTGCTTCTATAGAGGTACCTCCTATGCATCACGCAAAACGAACCTCTTCCTAGTGTCATGCAACTGTCACGTTAGCAACAAGAGCCCGTTCAGCAGTCCTTTTTCCTAGGCTGCATCTTTTAAAACGGGTAACTTGGTAGCTAGATCATGTGACCTAATTTTAGAAGGCGATGTTATGGCTATATCAAAATGTAATTTCCTAGAAAGGTTTTTAATGCATGTACCTGAGCATATCTCCACCAAACTAAGTCTTTAAAGCCTTAACCTCTTAAGCCATTGGATCTCTGCAATTATGATGCCGAGGACAATTCCGCCCAGAACCCTAAATGCTAATTCTTGCAGCTGCATTAAGATTGCTTCTGTGCCATTTGATCTTGCACATTTTCTTTAGGTGTTAGTTTAACATACCTGCATTTTTGTAACTTTGTAATTGTGCTGTTACCGTCCTTTTAAAATTGACATGCCAGTTGTTAATTAGGTGAGTAGATCTAAATAAAGGACTATTCTCGTGTGACAGAACTCCCTATATATAAAATACAAGCAACATACTGTATGTGTTAATTTACTGCAGCAATTACTGTTTACGTGTTGTTGTTAAAAAAAAGCAAATGAAAGGAATAACCAGCTAAAACTGGCAATACATGTAACAAGAATAAAGGCATCTGGGATTTAAAGACGACAATTGGCAAGGCTTTAAATAGACTTGGCTTAGTGTGGATGCACATATACCGTTTTTCCTTCTTAATGGGGATAATTTACATCAAATGGATCGAAGAACCAAGAGTGGAGTCCTTGTTAGTCAAGTTCCAGCTTCTAAATGAAGCAAAGGATGTGCTGCTACGCGCAACTACTCTGGTAGTTTTTGCTCCAGCCTTTGTGAATCCATCACCATGTCTAAAGCAGTATGTGGCTGATGTTAGAAAACCAGATCAAAGAAAACATAAGAAAATTGTCTCTAAGAATTACAAGAGGGCACCATACCAACACAGTGAGGAAAATAATTATTTGATCCCCTTGCAGATTTTGTAAGTTTGCCCACTTACAAAGAAATTAAAGGTCTATAATTTTTATCATATGTGTATTTTAAATGCTAGAGACAGAATATCAACCAAAAATCCAGAAAAAAACACTTGATACAAATGTTATAAATTGAGTTGCCGGTCCCGAGATCCGCTGTGCCAGATGCGGCCAGGACCGGCACGGCTCTGTGACAAGAGATGAAAGGGAGATCAGTATACGAACTCGCTTTGACCTCCTCTCAGTCCACGAATGCAGGAAGTGATGTATATTACATCACTTCCTGCATTCAGTGTCACTCTCCAGCTACAGAAGCTGATGAAGCAGATCTCTGCTTCATCAGCTTCTCTGGGGGTCCCTAGTTGACATTATGGGTCTTGTAGACCCCTGATGTCTCCATTAAGAGGACCTGTCATGTAAATTGGCTTCTTAACCCCCCATGTAAAAGCAATACAGTTGTGTGTAAAAAAAAAAAAAAAAAAAAGTAATAAAAAAAAGTTTTCTATTTTTAATTTTTTTTGTGCTTCTTTATTTTTTTTAATGATTCTTTAATTTTTGTAAGTCCTCGCCCCCCACATACACACGCAGATATGCGTCGGGTGCGCCTACGTGCGAAAACGACGATTGCGCCTATTGTGCCGCACATGTTACATATCGCCGCAAACGTCGGATTGAGAGCAATAGTTTTAGAGCCATTAATCACTGATAACACTAAACTGATGAGCAGTAAAAGCGTTTTATGCATCGCCTATGGGACGCAATTTTAAGGCATGACATGTTTGGTGTCTATTTACCCGACGTGACCCCGACTTTTACTAAAAATATGGGTAATAATAAATGTTTTATAACATAGCGTAGGGAAACTGTTTTTTTTTAAATTTTTTTAAATTTATGGTACTTTTTTCATTATATAGTAAAAAAAAAAAAAAACACCCCCCAGTGGTGATTATATACCTGCAAAAGAAACCTCTATCTGTCCCCAAAAAGTGTTAATATATATTGCAAGGCTATAGTCCAGTCATGCTGACTGGTGAAATTTTCAAGCCCTGTCCATAGTTCTTCTTTAATATCACTTTAATCCTGTCCTTTGCCTTAACCTCTAAACTATAAAGCTGGCCATAACCTAGTAGTTTTCTGAACACGCTTTCTTATGAGAGATCTTTCTTTTGCCTTTCTATTAGACCGCAGTGACGAAAAAAGTTGAAGCAGCAGAGTGGAAAATTTTTCTTCAACGAACCAAATTCAAACAGTGAATGTAGTTTTCATTCGGGAAACTCCATTCATTCCAAAATCGAATGTTAAAGTCAAACTAAATTTTGTTCGACATTTTCCAAATGTCTGATGACATTATCAGGTGCTAAAGAAAGATCTTCCGTTCGTAAAAAAAAAAGAAGATCTTTCGTTTGGAAATCTACTAGTGTATGGCCAGCCTAAGCCTAAACTGGCAATTAAATCTTATTGCTACTGAGAGATTTCACTCCAATATTGATGGATTATCCCATTAGCATCACATTGATTTTGTATGCTGTAGAACTATGGGGTAAGTGTTTTTCCCCATAGTTCTCCTAAGGGTCATGGAAGGACATATACTAGCGTCCTCCCATGACCCAAAGCTCAGTATATCGCGAGCTACAGCTCGCGGTATACTGAGACCACCGCAGCCGGGAGGGATCCCGACATTACTGTCGAGATCCACCTAGCTGCGTGAGTGACAGCTGGCTCTGCCTATCTAGAGGCCGAGCCAGCTGTACCCGCCCCCTTTGTTCCGCCAGTCAACGCTGGAGGAGAGGGGAGGGGGGAATCCAAGCAGGGAGCCGTGAGTGACAGTCACGGCTCTTTGCAGGGACATGATCAAGAAGTGAGTGAGCGACGGTATGTGTTCGCTCACTTCCGATCTATTGAGCCGATGTGTGACAGTTTCATTGTCACACATCGGCTCGAACTATGAGGTTGAGTTAAAAAAATCACTCACCTCATAGTTCTCCTTTAACAAGTGGTTAATATCTCAGTAGCAAACAAAATGTAGTCACCACTGTAGCCCTAGCCTGAAGCCGGCTATAAGCCAGTAGACCTTTGTCCAAACTTTTGTAAAAAATTCCAAAAAATAATTTGATTGTGCAAATACCTAGTAAACTAATTTTGTTTGAAAGTCCCTAAAAAGTTTGTCCAGACCTACCTGAATGGAATTCCGGATGTATTAAACATATTTATTTTTTGCCTAGCCCATGCACATTACAATATTTTATGATTTTTCCCAAACGGAAATCACTTTCACAGAATTTAGTTCGTTCAGAAGAAATGAGAAAAGTTTTCCATCCCGAGCCTTCAAAATTTATCTTCCGTATGGTTGAAACTGATCATTGCTTCACTTACCACTAACCATCAGAAAAATCAGACGAACGTTCCAAAAACAGATTTTTTTTCTGAACTAAAATCTATTGGTGTATGGCCAGTTTTACTTGACTTTGACCATAATCCCTAACACTAATTAACCCATGCAAGCCTGCAGCTTTCTCTTGTGTGCCATAGGACTAAAATGCAGATTTATGTAAATTTGTATTTCAGGCCTGTGTGTGTGTGTCACCTAAACATTTATTTTTCCTCTACATACTGAAATGTTTTGGTACATAATTGTTTTGCTGTTAATTTGATACTTAAAAATACTCTAGCAAAACTGTGAAGTTTAGATTACAGTGTGTAATGAATCTCATTTCCCTTTTTCATAAGAAGTACTTCTTAAATGTATGATAATGAGAAAATGACTATTTTATAGCACTGAAAACATGCCAGTAAGATTCAGTAATTCTCATGAATGTTAATAGTTATTCAAGTACTTTAATATAAATTGTAGATTTATTTTACGTGTTTTATTTGATTCTTACCCATTTGTACCACAGCATTCATAGCTTAAAAACATGTTGGTGCAAGGATATGCTGCACATCGAGTTCTGCGTTGATGTTAACCCTGTGCAAATTTGCTTGCATTGTGTCTTTAATGCAGTGTAGCATTCAGTATCTTCATATTTGTCAGGTCTAGAATTCCTAAAACTGATATTTCAGTTTTTTCTAGATGCTGGCGAGTTAAACCATCTAACAATTTTATCTCAGAAACTATGTTGGCGAGATCTCTGCACTTAAGTTCCTGGGTCTGCATACCTGCTGAGAGGTCCTACTCATTCTGTTAGATTTTTTTACTTCTTTATAGAAAATGGAACAATAGTTTCTAGAACATGCAAAGGTAGGCGGAAACACCCAAAACTACCAGGTACACAGGAACCGGAGTCTCTGATGGGGAGATCTCTTTGAAGGAGCTGTGTTCTGTGCCGTTTAATAAACTAAGATAGATGTTTTCCACAGTCCGGTTGTGCTGTGAATACTTCATATTCCAGGAATAACTCACTGAGTATTCAAAACTTATAAGACTCATTCACCTAGTCTCTGACAGGGAGATCTCCTTGAAAGAGCTGTGTTCTGTGACAGTTAATAAACTACAGTCTGGTTGCACTGAGAATACTTCATCTTCTAGGAATAACTCTCTTGAGTATTCAAGACTCATAAGAAGGGATGCACTGATACTGTTTTTTTCTGTACTGATATTTATATTTCGCTACTCGCTGATACTGAGTACCAATACCGGTACTTCCGCTTGCATGGTGCCGGCTTCCTGCCCAATCAGGAGGCCAGGCAGCGACTCATTACCCACATACTGTTTGGCTGGCTTCATACTGTTTGGCTGGCTTCATGCTGTTTGGCCGGCTTCATGCTGATTGGCAGGGAAGCCGGCTTCCCAGCCAGTCAGCATAGAGCCGGCTTTCCGGCCAATCAGGAAGCCGGGTGGCGGGTCAGTACTCTCCGCCTGGCTTTCTGATTGGCCCTGGAAGCCGGCTTAATGCTGTTTGGCCGGCTCAATGCTGATTGGTTGGGAAGCCAGCTTCGGCAAAACAGCATGGAGCCAGCTTCCCGACCAAACAGGAAGCCGGGCGGCGAGTCATTACCCAACGCCCGGCTTACTGTTTGGCCGGGAAGCCGACTCCATGTTCCCTCGCTGCACTGCCGGTCAGGGGAAAATTCCCGTTGACGGGAAGTTCCGGTATCAGGGAAGTTATCGGAGCATTTGGGCGAGTACTAATACTCGCCCAAATACTCAGTATCGGCACCGATAATGATATTAGTAACGGTATCGGTGCATCCCATCCTTAGGACTACTTCTTCTAGACTCCACCTTTTACTGAAATATCACTTTTAGATACAGTGACCCTTTAATATGTTTGTTTTGTTGTTTATGCTAAAAAAAACCTACAGTGTTTTCAGTGAGTACACACTTGAGTTCAGAATTCATTCATTGCAGAATTGTGGTCGCAGAAATCCCTGTATGAGCTTTTGGGCATTGTGTGTGTTTTGGATCATAGAAAATGTGATCTTATAGCGTTGGTGTTCTCAAAACGATATTAGTCTGCTCGGTTTACCTAAATTTCAGCTTTATATAATTTTTCTATGACCTTTGCAGCCTGTATGAGCACAGCTTTCAAGTGCAACTGGAAACAAAAGAGGTCTACGTTATAGATGACTTAGTATTGCAAATCTGTTTTTAAGCTTGTCAGGACCCTTGTGGAATTCAAAACAGATGTTGAAAACATTTGAAAAAAGCCCCCAGTAACAAACATATTATTGGCATGACTTTATTTTTAATATATTTTGTTTGAAAGGAACAGTCCCTACATCAGATATTGCAACAGATAACAGATGTGCAACTAGTTAGAAAACGGGAAACTCAGAGCTGAACACGTATTTTTCCCTTCTCATGTTAAGTGATAATTGGTGCTTTAATATATGTTTTCCATGTTAGTTATTTGGTCACTGTGCGTTTTATATTGCATGACATTTAAAATATAGCACACATTCTTATGTGGTAAATTTGGCACAAAATCAGGCAGTTCAGACTGTGCTTATCATAACAAAATACATAAGCATGTGCTAATGACATTGCAAACACCATTTTAAAATATTTAGTAGATCCAGAGCTATAGGCAGTTAAAATTTATATTTCTTAATCGTACTTCCCAGGACACAGGCTTCTTTAAATCATAGGAGATGGGATGGGTTATGCAGCTACCTTCAGGTTATTGGATGCTGACAAGTCATTCAGGGTGGCAACGAAGTCCTGCATTACCCCTCATGCTCCCGACATGCCTCCGTTTTTTGATACTGTCCTTTAGGTGGTGGATGCTTTCCCTGAGCTCTGTGAAAAGTTTGGGAATTTTTTTTTCCTTCATTATATCATCTTCTATCAAGAAATCTGCTCATGCCACATCAGTGCCAGTAGCTGCTATGCAGATTAATTTTCTCCTCAGCTATGTTTTGGCGTACGCTGACTCCACCAGACAAGACACATAGAAGGCTTATAATGTGTTCCAGCTCTGGACCTTGTGGAAGTGTCCTTCTAGGCTACGAGCTGAAATTGTGGATGCAGCAGGGTGCTCTACTGGTCAAGTGCCATGCTCAGTTGCAGTAGAGACCAGGCCCTGCAGGGCCCCTCTACGAGTGTGCCCATCTGCTGGGCAAAGCAGGGCTAGTATGTCTGTGTGCATTTGCTGTGTCCCTCTAGTGGTGTTTAGAGGGATCACACTGTGCAGACGCCTGCCATTTTCACCCCTAGACCAGGTGAATGTGTATTAGCCCTGCTGCAGCCACGCTGCTTCAGTCTTAAAGTCTAGCACCACTGGACTCTGACTATGTCTTTTTCGGCCGGGACGCGAGGAGAGACACAAGGTAAGTCTATGGACGCGTGCGCCCGCATGCAGACACCGTGGGAGAAGAAGCGCCAGCAATAACAGAGGAGTCAGCGCTGGATCGGAGACTCGCCGCAGCGCTGGAGAGAAGGCTGAAAAGGACAGGAAAGAAGATGATCGGATTAAGAGACATCATTTAAGGTAAGTGCTTTCATTAACGTTGTGTTGAGGCAAAAACATTTTTGCCTTTAATGTCTCTTTAAGCTGGTTTTGTACTGTGAGCATCCTGAGAAGTTTTTTTTTTTTCCCCCGAAAAGATTTTCTCAGCAGTACCCCATTAGGGAAGGGATATGGACCCTGACCCTGGCTATTTCTTTTCTGAACAAGACTCTGTCTTTTTCCTATGTGTTTAGTTATCATACAGACACAAGGTTTCTAGATGGATTCATAGGACCCCCGTTTCCTGTTAAGGCACACTCCATCAGGAGCTTCAGAACCTTTTGGGCTTTTCAGCACCAAGTTTCAGCCTATCAGATTTGTAAGACTGCCTCCTGTTTGACGGTTTGCATCTTTTTGTAAATTTCTACCAGGTGGATGCTCAGGTGTCACCTGATGCCAGTTTCAGTTGCACAGTTCTTCAGAGAGCTCTTTGAACGTTGGGAAATCATGGGGTAGCCAACTGTTGGGGTGTGTTAGTAATTAAAGATGCCATTGATCTGCAATGCATGATCTAGAAAGCAGGATTTTTTTTTCTTACCTGTAAAATCAGTTTCAAATCACCTAAGGGTAGCTGCATAACTCATCTGTTAGGATTTAAAGAAGCCTGTGTCCTGTGATGTACTCCAAGAAATTGGTTATTTATACTGTGTGTGTGTGTGTGTGTGTGTAGGGGGTGCAGGAGGAGGTGGGGCCGAATTCAACTTTAATAAGAAAGCTTTTGCTGCTTATATTTCTTGATCGTGTTGAAACGTGATTTAACTTCAGACCTCTTTTATCACTGTGTTCAGGGACAACCCTTCAACATCTTCCCAACTGTTGATATTATTCAGCTTTATTTAATAAAATGTTCACATTGTGATCACTATTACCCAATGACTCCCCAATTACAATATCCTCGATTAACTCTGCATTATTAGTGACAATTAGATCCAAGATGGCATTTTTTCTGGTAGGAGTCTCGCGCAACATGTTTAGAAATCGCCCCGCCTTTGCCGAACCTTCCCCAGGTTATCACAGCATGAAGTAACTATATGGTAATATGTCTTGATTATAATAACTAACAATTTAAGGATTTATTTGTACCTGTATTTTCTAGCTCAATGCACCTAAAAACTCTTAATGACCCTGTTAAATGTCATGGAGTGTGTTCAGCAGGGGTACATGATGCAAATTGTTATCTGTGTTATTGCTATCCATGAACACGTGTTTTCTTTTGTCAGATGAATGATGGCCCCCTGTGCAAATGCAGCGTTAAAGCCAGGAGTACAGGAATCAGACACAGCTTTTATCCTGGAGAGGAGGTAAATACAATTTGTTTGTAGTCAGTTTATGCTGATTTTGAAATCAAAAGCCTGTCTCTCAGTCAAAGATGTGTTGGTGTTTTTGACTGGTGTATATTTTTCATGTCAGCACTGTGTGTTCTGTGTATCATGTCACTCAATCTCACTTCAGGGAAGAAACTGTTATTTAAGCAATGCTGCTGCAAAAACCCAAAACCATGTTTTTATTTTGTCATAAAGTGTCAACGAAATCATCTGTCATTTTTTAACAGTTCCAGGCAACAACTGTAGTCAAGTTTTAGAGGAATGCATAGTGGTGTTGCGTGTATTTCCTTTTATTGTTGTCCCAGACAAAAAAATATTTAAAAACATGTTGTAATCAGACGCAGTCTGAAAGGAAACCGATTCTGCACTGCTGCCTATTTAGAAAACCCACAATGCTCTGTGACTCCTGTGTATTCACTGTATTTAATGTTTACAGTATTAACACACACCTGAATGCTTTTTATTATGTCCCGATACTTTAAACCAGTGATTCTCAACCTGTGTAACCTCAGGACCCATATTTGTCCTTGGACATTAAGTGGCGACCCAAGCCGCACTGCAATGGAACGCACGGCATTGTGGTACCATGCGTTCTGGTGCGGACGATCCTCAGCTTGGGGTTCAGTGCTGGGCTGCTGTGCTGTGACTGAGCTCCATCCCTACATTGTTTGTACTACTTCCTTGTGCGCCCTGTAGAGGTGCTAGAAGCCAGAATGTGACTTCACTCTGGTCCAGGCACCTCTACAGGTCACATGAGGGAGCTGTAGGCAATGCATGTATGGATGAAGCTCCCTCGCGGCCATAGCTCCAGCCCACCTCACCCTACCTCACCCCACCTGTGTAACAGGGTTGTGTATGCTAAGGACTCTCTACACAGCACAGTGTAAGAACATTGGGTGCCTGAGTGGCAAACCAGTGCTGTCGCATAGGAGAAAGGGGACCGTGTCACATTCTCCACCATACCTAGAAGTACCGGGTATGTCACTTTGGTTTGTCGTTTAAATGAAGTAGCGAGCGAGTAAAGAGAAGGCACGATTTAAAGCTGGCCATACACCTATAGATTTTCTGCGGTCAGATGGAAAAAGTGCAACAGATTCCTCCATCTACACTTAACTGTGTGGATGGAGGAATCTCCCACTGGGCCAAGCTTCAGTATCTTGCTAGTTGGCCCCGCTGTCTGGCAAAATACCTGAACAATCTGATTGGATGCAGGCATTGTTCATGTATTTTGATAGCCAGCGGGGCCAACTAGCAAAAATCCTAAAGCTTTGCATAGTGGGAGATTCCTCCTTCCACACAGTTTAGCATAGATGGAGGAATCTGTTGCACTTTTTCCATCCAACCATAGAAAAACTGCAGATAATCTATAGGTTCATGGCCAGCTTAAGCAGCAGGAATTAAAGAGAACCTGTTGCTTTGCCCTACATGAGCAAAACACAGGATCTCTTTAAGTCTTCAAACTTGTTTGACACTCCTAAAGCTTGCATCAGAAATGTCTTCATTGTATCACTCCTGCGCACAGTATGTAAAAGTGTTTATCATTAAAATAGTCAGTCAGTATGATGAATGCAAGTACTAGCACTCATTGACAATTCTATTTACCATAAAGATAATTGGTCAATATGATGGATGTAAATGTCGATATCCATTGACAGTTTGCTTAGATAATGAGCAAACTGAATACTATATTTTAGGCACATCCCAAGTAATTACATCTGCTTACATTATGAAAAACAGCCATGGAGTCCCCGTGCGAATGAGACTGAAATAAGCTTCTATATTCTATGTGCCTATTTTTTTTTTATTTTTTTTAACAAAAGGTGTGAATCTTACCATTTTACACCTTTAGGAAAACAATTTATGATTGGTACAGTCAGTCAATGTGATGAAAATAAGTACTAGTATTCATTGACTCTTGCATTTATCATAAAGATAATTGATCAATATGATGAACGCAGGTGTCAACATTTATTGACAGTTTGCTCAGATCAGGACATCCCTCAGATGTTAAATGCTATCTTTTAGGTGCATCTAAAGTAAAGCACCTGCTTACACTTTGTGTATGAAAGTAGTCATGTAGTGTAGTAGTCATGCATATTAGTCTTAAATGAGCATCCATATTCTGTCTGCACATTTTTCACAAAAGGTGGGAATGTTATCAGGTGAACAAGACTACACTGTCACTATCCATATCAATCCACATTTTGTTGGTAGAAGATACTAAGAAGCCAGGGTTTTGATGAGTGATTCTGTGCAGTCAGCCTAATATTACAGACCTGGTGCTGGATAGTACTTCTTCATTATATTGCTAAAATTTGCTGTCATTTCTGTCAGCATATTCTGTCACTTCTGTATCTTTGAGCTATTAGTATTTAAAGGAGAACTATGGGGTTAGGGCTTTTCCCCATAGTTCTCCGAAGGGTAACGGGAGGACACAGACTAGCGTCCTCCCGTCACCCTAAGCTTTGGCTAATGTGTATTTTTATCCAAAATTGTTTTGGGGGGGGGGTAGAGTGAGAAGCTATCCAGGGAGAGAGATTTCTCCTTGCTTACTTTCCTGGCGTCAAAGGTTTCGCCATACAGCAAATTTAGGTTAATTCTCAAACATCAGCAACAATAACCAATTAAACAGACCACAGCTACATTTTGGGGGAGGTTTGTGGCCATTAACAGCTTTTCTTATTGATGCTGTCTTTAAAGAACTCAGGGCAAACTTTTTTTTAACCCTTGCAGTGGGGCAACCTCCGCAAGGTTGTCTATGCATATCAGTGTTTTTGAGGGCCCGGTCAAAACTAGTACAGTGCATTAATTGCATAGTACCAATGCGATTAACGCATTCGGGTGTGGGAGGTGTGTTGCGTTGACATTCATTTGAATGGTACTCCAAATGCACCTCCCACCCACAGTTTGTACGCCCGCACCGGAACGCGCGGTACCCTAATGCCATGCTTTCCACTGCAGTGCAACTTGGGTCGTGACTTAATGACCAAGGACAAATGTGGGTCCTGAGGTTACACAGCTTGAGAGCCACTGCATTAAAGGAGTAATATGCACCTTGCAGCAATAGCTTCTATGGGAAGGGTATATGTGGTTGTTTTTTTTTTTTACTGTGATATGTATCAAGACCCCCAAAATAATGCAGCTTTTTGAATGACAATCACTCCTTATGGGTCTGTCTGTGTGTTGCCACTCCACAGCTGAAATATGTTTTATTTGGATAGTAAGTAACAGATGTCGCCAGATGGTTGACTTTTCTGGATAGTTCAGGAGATATTTACTAGCTAAGAACAAAGATCTGTCTCTAAAGTGTGAAGGAATACCTCTGCAATGTAATATGTTATCTTCTTTTTGTTCTCTTGTTTTCTAGTCGATTAAAGCATGCCGTCCCATGACAAACAACGCAGGTCGTCTATTTCACTACAGGATAACTGTATCCCCGCCAACCAATTTCTTAGTAAGTACTCTCTGTGTTTCTTTGGTGTAGCTGATTCCAATTCAATGCAATTATTCTAATACAGAATCTAAATATCAGATCTTGTGTAACATATATTTCTTAATCATACAGTACACAAAACAGGCATTCTTTAATCATAGCCCTTCAGATGATGAAAAACTGGCAAACAGAATTGTGGGACAGCCTATATAACCCCTGCCACTCCCAGGATCCCTCAGTTGGTTTGCTAGTGTCCTTGGAGGAACTTTCTACTGAGAGTTGGTTTCTGGCTAAATCTACATTTTGGCTCAAGAATCTTAGCTCAACCTAGCTGCAGCTAAGCTACGGAGGCTGTGATCTTGCAGCTTCCAGATTGGTGCTAGCCTCGAAGACCATTCCTGGACCCTGACATGTTGAAATACGTGTGGCCGCCTGTAGTGTTGCTTAGGCACTGGTCTCTGCGTTCTCCCTTGCTACAACAATACAGCAGGGTGGAGTTAGCCTCCAGGTGCTTTACAGGTCCTCACTTCTGCCTCTTGTCCCACTATCAATGTGAAAGTTAGCAAGGGTGAATCTCCCCAACTGAGATTTACCCTTTCAACATGTCAGGGTCCAGGAATGGTCATCGAGGCTAGCACCAATCTGGAAGCTGCAAGATCACAGCCTGCTAGGTTGAGCTAAGATTCTTGAGGCAAGCTATTAAACAAGGGCCACTCCAGCTCTTGTGGAACTAGAAGTCCAGTGAGGCATTGCAAAGCTTTGGCAGTCACAGACATGACTCCCGAAAGCAGAGACATAATTAGATTTGTTGTTTCACCACAGCCGGACTGCAGAGGTTTCATACACCTTGTTTAAGCATTCCTCAACCTATCAAAAATTAAATGATTGAAAAACGATGATTGGTTGGAGTTTACTTTTTGTTAAATTAACATACATAGCTGAACAACACAGGAAACGTTTTGTTCATTGCTCGTAGCAATGTCCTCCTGTAGGCTGCAAGTAATGAACATACCAATATACGGTAACTATAAATGCCAAGCAATAAAACATGAGATTAAAGTTGCTGGTGCGGCCATTTTCTGAAGCTCTATAGAACGTTTTGATCTCACCTGAACTTTGAATGCGAACTGGTGACTATGACCGACTGTGGTGTTTGAAAAGATTCTGATTTTTACAGTATAATGAATGTTTCACTTCCTATCCCTGGATATAAATGTAATCAAGACTCAAGAGTTATATCCTCTGCACAGTGGCAACATTTCGATGGCTACAGGGTTTTATTTATTTTGCTGATGCAGTATGAAAGGCATTTCCTCCCGACTTGTACTTGTGATGTACAAAGCCATTGTGAGTTACGAGCTGCACAGAGTATTTTCGCATGCATCAAGGGAGGTAAATTCTCCACTTTCAATTGAGGACTTAACAGGTTTCTTGAATGGGCATAAAAAAGATTGATGGTTTCCTCCCTGCAATCTTATTTTTTTTGTTGTTGATTTGTGTGATGTCTGCAAATTGGCATGTAAAATGAACCTTCCCAATTATCTCTAGGTTTTGTTTCAGTGCTAATTTATGCACCAATCCCTGCTAATGGTTTGTTGATATATAGAGAGCGAGTTAAAGCAAAATTAGAATTTGTGGACCTTTTATTTTGCTGCTGCTGCTCCTTAATTAACCTTTCTGTTGCCCTGAGACAGATGCTGGCAGCGGACACACTCTGCATTAGAGAAAGTGTCTATCACTTACTGCATTCTCTTGATCCTTGGCCCAGCGTCTGGGCATCCACATTACCTGGAAAGAAGCCTGAAACTTTTATGGATACATTAGTTGTAAATAGTGTGAACTACAAACGACTGATTAACATGTCTTACAACTTCCTGCCTGTTTTCTGAAAGCTTGCTGGCAACATGCTACTTTGTAGACACCTTGAGAAATGAGAATTCAAGATCACCAAACGGCTTCATCATAACCAACAATGTTCTGCTCTATTTTAGACTGATCGGCCCACTGTTGTAGAGTACGACGATCATGAGTACATCTTTGAGGGATTTTCTATGTTCGCCCATGCTCCCCTCACAAATGTAAGTATATTTTGTAAAATATCAGATTAATTTGCCACCTAATAAGCGTACAAAATATAGCGATAACTCTAGTGTGTTTCAATGAGCACATGGGCTAGAATTAATGTATTGACCCTTAATCTTTGATATGGCATTCTCATTTTTACAGGTTTCTGCTTTCATATCTTGACTGTTCCATTAAATATTTAAATTATAATATATCAAGAGATATAGAAATTAGCAACTAGGAGCATGCTCAGTGACTCTTAAGGGCTTGTTCATACCAAGCGCGTTCCAGAAACAGAGCAGTTACAGACCGGATAAAAACTGTGTCCGGTGTATTCCAATGGTATTTTGGGCTCTAGTTCACACCGCAGCGTTCAGTTCCAGAGCATGTAAAAAAACTGCAGCTAGCCCTATTTTTCCTGCTCTGGAACGCATGCAAATGCATCAAAAACGCATGTAAACGCACTGGAACGCACTGAAAGCCCATTTTAAACGACATTTTAAGCCCATTTACAAAAACAGTCCTGAACATGGAAAAACACACTGCACTGCGTGTGCAGAAACTCGTGCAGATCTGGTCTGCATTTGGTGTGAACAAGCCCTAACCCTTTTACTGGCACTGACAGAAGGTATACCGTGGAACAAAAACCTTTCCATCTGGCCAGGTCAGTATACCTTATGTTGGCTGGCTTCACCCTTCTGCTAGAAGCTCTTGGTTGCTTCTGGCTTGAACCTATAACATAAGTTTTCCCCCTGAGTCTTCTGTGTTAAAGAATAAATGTCATCATTGGCCGACAACTGTGTGTGGTAGCACAAGGCAAAGCGTTGCCATACATTGTAATATGCTGCATTGCGATTAAAGGAGAACTATGAGGTGAGTGCGTTTCACTTACCTCATAGTTCTAGCCGACCTGTGACAATGAGACTGCTCGCGGTATACTGCAGCGTCTCAGTATACCGAGAGTTGTAGCTCGCGGTATACTGAGCTTAGGGTGACGGGAGGACGCTAGTGTGTCCTCCCGTTACCCTAAGGAGAACTATGGGGAAAAGCCCTAACCCCATAGTTCTCCTTTAAGTGTATGCCTGCATCATTTTACCACAAAATTCACCAATGCAGGCACAAATGGCTCTGTAAATTGGGTGTTAACACAACACATAGGTGTGGGGCCAACCTCCTGATTTCTAGCATAAGTTGCTTATTTACACTTTTGCATGCATTTTGTTTTTTACCATTTCACAAAAAGGCACAGTTTAAAACATACAAACATTAATCAACTCAATACAGTTTTATATTTTAGATTTAGTAGGAATCTTGTAAATATGTTTTTTTGAGTGCAAATATAATGATTTTTGTGGTTTTTTTTTTTAAATAAAAAATACTGTTTTTGGTAAACATTTGCGCAACTGTTAGGTGAGGTTAGGCTAGGTGAGGTTATAAGTGAAGCGCAGGGATTAACAATGAAAGGGTTAAAGCCACTTATAACGTATTTCCACTTTTGCAGTCAAATTTGAGAATACCCCACTATATGTTTGCTGTGTGTTGCTATTCAAGCAGCATACCTAAAATAAATAAATATATATATCTATAGATATCTATTGATAGATATATATATCTATCTATCTATCTATCTATCTATCTATCTATCTATCTATCTATCTATCTATCTATCTATCTATCTATCTATCTATCTATCTATCTATCTTACCTTTCAGTTGTCTCTGAATCAGCAGCCCGTTGAACAGACTGCAAGCTTCATTCTACAATTCCAGGGGTCACAGGAAACTTTGGCTGTTCCCATAGAAAGGCTACTGAAACTCTGAGCTTCCCCTCATTAGCATACAATGCTTCTAGAAGACTAAAGCCAATAAAAGGTTTGGCTTTAGTTCTCTTTTAACCCTTTGTTAGAACAGACAGTGTTCAAATTTAGTTTACAACTGATAATGCCATATGCCAGCACAGTACAGACAGGGTTAACTATTGCAAACATGGTACCGCCCCAGCCCCTTTGCATTCCAGAGGAAAATTCAGTTTTGAGAAAAACATTTCATTCAGAAAAGAGCAAGTAATATATAAGCAGCTTCTTTTTTTTTAAAGTTATGCTATGTGAATGAGAACATGTATCAAATATAAAAAGGTGTTGTCCCAATTTGGCTGAAAAGGTAGGAAAAACACTTTAACAGCTGTTAAAATTTCAGTCGCATAGTGCATTGTCTTCTATGGGTCTGCTGACTGAGAGATAGCATTGTGGAAAAGAGCAGTAAAGCACAACCATTGTATAGCACTGCAGATCAGTAAGGAAAGCCTACATATATGAGAAAATATGGCTTCCTTTATGTAGTTATCACTGCAAATCATACATCGAAGCAAGGTGTCACACATACTGATGAGATTTAATGCATCAAATGGATGGCTTTTATATGTTGAACTAAAGAAAATGCAAAGACTGTACATATGCTACAAGTGTCCTGTTTTCTGGGCTATAGAAGATGCAGTTATACTTGGCAGAAAAACAAATATATCGTACATTTTTGAAAGCTCATACCTAACCAGGTTTTAGGCAGAAGGTGTTAATGGTCATATCAATTTGCAGTACATTATAGAATAATTGAACTCTGGTGAAAATGTCCCGTGTCTATTTGCTGTTCTTCTGCCAGTATTGAATTGATTTGAGTCTTCTCAATCCCTTACAGTGTTCTTAGAGTCCCATTGTATCTGACCTTATGAGTCATGAAACATGGTTTCCAGTTTCATGGCATAACTAATGTTGTAAAGAATCTGTGGAGCATTCTGTGTTACTATACACTGGAATCCCAAACAGATTATATTTGTGTCTGTCCTGATGGGATTTATGATTTGCTGAATTATTAATCCCGTGCAGTGGAACTGATATATAGAAACAAGCAAAATGTCTTTTTCATTCATAGAAACCAAAAGCATCCTTTGTCATTTAAAACTGCAGAATTGACATCTAACATTTGATTGGTTGCTATGGTAAACACAGACACTGTTCATTTTCTCCAGTGCTTTTTATTTGCATTATTTTTAGATGGCAGGACTCTTACATGTACTTTTCCTACTAGTTTGCTTTATAAATTATTCTGTTGTTATTCAAACTTAACTGACATTTATTCTGAGATCGCTATCATCACATGCATTAAAAGAGGTACTACATACAGTATCAATGGAGTACTTGCTGCAAGAGTAAGTTAAACGGATAGGATCCCTCCAAAAGTAATATTTTAGCTTACGTTAGATGCAGGAGAGTTAAATCGTATACCAATAATATCATATGCTTCTCAGGGATTCTTGTGCTGAGATCTCTGTTCTTAGCTCTTTAGACAGCATACTTACACTGGCAGTTTTGAGCATGTCAAACTATGGTTATTGGATTATTATGGTGAATACAGCAGGGGAAGCTAGAACACTTCTGTCATAGGAAGAGTGAGACTTCAACTTGAGCAGGAACATAGCCTGAAAATGTGGGTGGAAGATTGTATTGTTGAGTGCCCAGCAGACATATTAAGCCAGCATATGACTCAGCCTGCCAGTCTCCACCTTTTAATTGTCAACCTGTTAGGTGAAATAAAAATGTAAAAAAAAAAAAGTGGTTTTGCCTTCTCCACTGTTGCAAGACAACTATTTCTTTTTTTTTCTTTCAAGAAAATGTTTTATTTTTTGTTTTACAATACATTGTAGTATTCAAGTACATTGGAGGCATACATTCGTAGGTGATGACATGACATGAATTAAGGTATTCTTTAGTCTTCTACCTTATGTGCACTGCTGCCTAAGGGGCAATGTAAACAGAATCAGTGTTTAGCAGTTGCCAGTAATCTGTTTTTAAACCATAGATTCATTATAACTAAGAAACAGCTTGTAAGCTGGATCTAACAAAAGTGAAAATAAGTGGACGTAAGGGGGCAAACATTTTCCCCCCGCAAGCCCAGCCTTATGCCGGAGGGGGAGAGGGTCAGGGAGGGGGAGAAGCAAGATAGAGAGGGGAATAGAGTACAGTAGAGGTGGGAGTGAGACCCGGTAGGGGTGGTTCAATCCCGGTGCATTGGTAGCAAGCCAACTATTTCAGTTTTGTTTAGGATCGCCCCTGGAGCCTGAAACCCTGGAGCCTGAAATTGCAGCCAGAAATTGCAGCCAGAGCTTCTAGTATCCTTATGTTATCCTGCTCTTTCAAACCACTTCCAGTTGTCCAGAAATGTGATGGGTGGCTTATTGGGTATAGCAGGGCAAGCTATGACGGTCCCAGAATTTCTGACTAGTGGGAGGCTTTCCAGAGAAGCTGAAAATGCATGATGTCAGCTTGAGGTGTCTGCTAACTAGATTTAAAGCCATTTAACCATCCATAAACAGCCCTTTAGGTACACCACCTCTGCATTCTAATTGGCCTGAAATGTGATGGATGGGCTATTGGGTGTAGCAGGGCTACACCGCAATCATGCAAGCTATGATCATCCCAGGATTTCTGGCTATTAGGAGGCTTTCCAAAGAAGCTTAAAATGTTTGCAGAGATCTGGAAGTACCTGCTACCCAGAATTCAAGGCCGTTTACCATACATAAACTGTTGGAGGCCATGACAAATAGCTGTATTGATAACTGTGAAGCAGTACTTTTGCTTTGAAAGCTTAGTTAGTCCAATGTTTGATCCATTCTTCTGCTAACACGTGATCAACGTCTATGAATATTCAGGCTAGTTTTGCTAGTGCTTCGCTACCTCACAGAATTTCAAATGTTACCTCTCCTTGGATGTTATAAACTGTTATGCCTTTTAGTATAAAGGTCACGTTAATGCAATTATAGCATACACGACATATAGCAATCACCATTCTTCCTTGGGGGGTGGCTGCTTAGTGATTCTTTTATGTAATTTCTGATTGTTCCACCCCTTTTGGGTTAGCGTATCTTGAGCTATAATGGTTTTAGTTAGTGGGGGTCATATTTCCCCCATATTGCCCATGCTAGTAGCCTGAAAAGGAGAGTTGGAGATAGAGAGGGGTAGCAA